TGACAGCTCGGAGCCTGGAGCCTGCTTCCGATTCTGTGTCTCCCACTGTCTCTGCCCCTGCCCCACTTGCTCTCTGTCTTTCTAAAATGAATAAAAATTTAAAAAAAAAGACAAATTGGCAACTAAGAGTGATCTAGGTACAAAAGCAAAAAACCCCCAAAAAACTAGGGTTAAAAAAACCCAACCCAACCCAAGACCCCAACAATGCAGACACAGAAGATTATGTACCAGTCAGCAAAGTCTGATTGACGATGACCTTTCCCCTCAGTGGGTTCAGTCTTACTATCGACTTCTGCTTTGAAAACTCTTTACAAAACCCTTTCAATAAGCTGTTTCTTGATAGAGTTTAGAAACAACCTGCAGGCAAGTACAGAAGACTTAATATAAATTTTGGAACAAATTGTAAATGTTATATCTGGGAAACTGAAATACTGGCAGGTGCTTAAAAATGGAGTGTAGGGGCGCCTGGGTGGCGCAGTCGGTTAAGCGTCCCGACTTCAGCCAGGTCACGATCTCGCGGTCCGTGAGTTCGAGCCCCGCGTCAGGCTCTGGGCTGACGGCTCAGAGCCTGGAGCCTGTTTCCGATTCTGCGTCTCCCTCTCTCTCTGCCCCTCCCCCGTTCATGCTCTGTCTCTCTCTGTCCCCAAAATAAATAAACGTTGAAAAAAAAAATTAAAAAAAAAAATGGAGTGTAACTCACAAAAATCAGGCAATGGAAGAAGGTAGTGTGCTAATTTCACAGAAAGATATGGTCCAAAGTCAGTAAGTCAAGACATTAAGTTCAACGCTTCAAGCCATGAGTGCATTATTTAAAATTCTCATGGTGCACACCAGGAAGTGATAACCGAATTTCTGTTCTTTTTAACAGTGGCTGTTTCTGGAAAGAAGCTGTCGAGGGAGGGAAGGGGCCTCTGTGTGGATGAAAGAGTGTTTTACGATCTCCATTATCTCTTTAACCAAGTATATGCATTATGTCGCTTCTCATTTGTTCCTTTTAACACGTTAAGCTGAGACATGACAGGTGGTTGGGGTCGAGGGGCCGATCTGGGCGGGGTCCCGTGCCTCCACCTGATCTCGCTCTTCTCTCCGTGAAGACCCATCGCCCTGTGTACATCCTGGATCTCAGTGGCTCCTGCCTTCTTCCGGGTTTGCTGTGTTGAATATGCACAGCTGATCCCTGCAGTCTCCCCCCATAGTACCTCGGCTGATTGTCCCCTCCTCTTTCCTCAGCCCTCAATTTCCTTAAAGAGAAAGCCCCACTTCTGGTCTTTCTGGCCATCTCCTTGGTTGTCCTTGCTCCCACATGCACTGCAAGATGCTTTGGCTCCCTTCATAGCTCAGGACATCCCAGTCAACCTAAAGTTTGCTAGACTTCCTTCACCTCTTACCGCCCCCAGATCAAAGCTACACACTCCATCTCCAAGGGTACTTTCCTTTAACTTGAGTCTGAGAATCAACCCTATTGGGTTTCCTGGCTTGTAAGTGATATTTCATTTCCATGATAAGTTTGAAAGAATATGGCCATTCTGAACAATCCGCAAGACCACTGCGTAACTCCTCCGTAACCCCCAGCCGCACGAAGATGGGCGGCATTTCCAGCATCCAGCGGGCTGTGGAGCGCATCTCAACTGGCACGTTCAACCAGCGTGTTGCATGTTCCACTCTTGGTATCACTTTTTCTTATCGTAGGGATGTATTAATCCGATGCGTTGCCTTTTATGGTACGAATATTCCATTTCTACCGCAAACATAGGTGTTGTTTCCGTCGCCTGGCTATCAGGGATAAAGCTGAGCCTGTTACTTTAACACGTTATTTCTCACACTGGGGGCTCTGGATCTGTTCCTGTGTATCTGTGAATCCGTTTCAGAATCCGTAGACAGTGTCGTCATGTATAGTGTCTTTCTGCTCCTCTCAGTGAGTTTGAAATCAGGAAGTATGTGTTCAACTTCCTTCCTTCTGTCCTTCCTCCCTTCCCTCCCCCATTCCCTCCTTCCCTCCCATCCTTTCCTTCCCTTATTTCTTTCTTTCTTTCTAAATTCGCCATTGCTCCACTATTCTGGGCCTTTTGAATTTTCAGGTGAATTTTGGAATCAGCCTGGAAATTTCCATAGAGTAGCCAATTGGAATTTATGTAGGGACTGCGCTGAATCTGTAGGTGATTTGGGGAATATTGCTATTTTAACAAAATTAAGTCCTCTGATACATAAACATGGGTGGCTTTCCACTCCTTTGGGTCTTCAGTTTCTTTCAACAATATTTTTTTTAATTTTCAGAGTACAATGTTTATGCTTCCTTATTAATTTTATTCCTAAGTATCTTATGCTTTTTCATGATGTTGTAAATGGAATTGGTTTCTTAATTTTGTTTTCAGGTTATTCATCGTGGGTGTGGAGATATACAGTTGATTTTTATATGGATAGTTGAAAACCTTTTAGAAGTAGTTTATTCGTTTTGTTTTTGGAAGATTCCTTAAAAGTTTCTATTTACAAGGTTATGCCTTCTGCAATAAATAGTTTCATTTCTTCCCTTCCAATCTGGATGCCTTTTATTTCACATTCTTGACTTATTCTCCTAGTTAAAACCTTCAGTAAAATGGTAAATAGAAGTTGCAAGAGTGGGGACACTGGTCTTTTTCTTGATTGTAGTGAGAAAACAATCTCTCATCATTAAGTACTGTCTTAGCTGTGGTGTTTCATAATACGTTCTTTTCTGGAGGAAGAAGTTCCCTTTTATTCCCGATTTGCTCCTTTTTTTTTTTTTTTTTTAATCACGATTGAGTACTGAAGTTTGTCAATTGTTTCTTTTTTGTATCTACTGAGATTATCATGCTTTTGGTCTTTTATTGATATGGTATGTTGTGTTAATTTTTGGATGTTAAAAATCCAAATGCATGCCCGGCATAAATCCTACTTGGTTATGATGTATAATCCTTTTTATGCATTGGTGGATTCGTTTTGCTAGTCTTGGTTGAGGATTTTGTATTTGTTCAGAAGAGATACTGCTCTGTAGTTTTCTTGTCATGTCTCTGTATCTCAAGCTGGTATCAGGGTAATTTTGGCCTCAGAGAGAGTGACAGGTGTATCCTCCCATTCAACTTTTTGGGAGAGTTTGCAAAGGATTGGTATTAATCCAATATAATTAATCCCGTGAAGCTGTCTGGACCCGGCTTTCCTTGTGGATGGTTTTTTGATTACTGTCTTGCCATGTAGGTCTTTGCGCATTTTCGATTTCTGCTTGATTCAGCTTTGGTAGTTTGGGTCTGCCTCCTCTGAGTTATGTAGCGTGTTTCTATGCAGTTGGTCACAGGAGCCTCTGATAACTATGTTTCTGCAGGGTCAGTAGTGATGTCTCCTCTGCCACTTCTCATGTTAACATTTTGAGTTTTCTTGCTTCTTTGGCCAGTCCAGCAAAAAGCTTGTTAATTTTATTGTTATTAAAAAAAACAAACCCACTTCTGAGTTTATTGATTTTTCTCTATTGTTTTTCTATTCTTCATTCTACTGACTTCCACTGTAATCTAGTATTTCCTGCATTCTTCCTCCTTTGCGGTTACTTGACTCTTGTAAGGTGGGAGATCAAGTTACTGCTTTGAGATCTTTGTTCTCATTTAACGTAGGTGTGTATAGCTATACGAGCCCCGTGACTTCTTGACAGTTTTGGGCTTTCTTGGCATTTTGCTACCTTCTCTCCAGTTCTTCCTCCTGTCCCTGCTGCTCCTTTGTGACCCCCTTTTCTGCCCAGTCCTTACTAAACAGCTAGAGAGCTTGGGCCCCCAACTGTGCTGAGTGGCAGTCCTTGTCTCACGAACACCCCAGAGCAGCTCTGAGGAGAAGGTGGTGTCACTATCTCCATTTTCTGGTGCAGGCAACTCAGGTGCAGAAAGCTGAGGTAGATGACTTGCCAATCTCTCTGGATTTGGAATTTGATCTTCTCTCTCACTATACGTCTTCACCCTGGCTGATTTTTACTTATTAGCGTGCTCTTTATATATGGATGAAACCCACATCCTTATCACTAGCCTGGACTTCCCCACTGAGTTTTCAGACCACAGCCCAGCCGCCTACCAGATACCTGTCTCCACTTGTGTTTCCTACAAACCTGACCTGGGCCCGGCTGCTTCCTGCTCAGCTTCTCCAAACCTACTTGTCTCTTTGGCCCTTTTATCTCGACTGATGAGGCCACCGCTCCCTGCTTGCCAGCTCTGCCCCAGATGTCCATGCACGCCAGCTATCTGCCCTGGCACCGTGTTGGCTCCCTTCACACCCTTGGGCATCTGCAAGGGACCCCATCTTCTGCGTGACCCGCCCCTCATCCCTTCACACCTTCACCCGGCCCTCTGTGAAATCTCCCCTCAGGGCCCCACACAGAACTGGATGCCCCAGCAGGCTCTCTTTCGGCCTTTGTTTATGACTTTACCATGGCAGCTACCACACAGGGTGTAACAGACGCCTTTCTGTGCCTGTCCGTCCTCTAATGCTGGGAGCTTCTGCTGGGTAAGCACCGAGTGCGCATTATCTAGAGGGTTTCTTGTAATGCTTATAAAACAGTGACCTTGATGCCATTTTTTAAAAATTTATTTATTTGGGGAGAGAGAGAGAGAGAGCAGGGGAGGGGCAGAGAGAGAGAGAGAGAGAGAGAAAGAGAGAGAATCCCAAGCAGGCTCTGCAACGTCAGCACAGAGCCTGACTCGGAGCTCGAACTCACCAACTGTGAGATCACGACCTGAGCCAGAGTCAGATACTTAACCAACTGAGCCACCGGGCGCCCCTAAAATTTTTAAATGAAATTCAAGTTCTCTTACGTTGGGAGCTCGAAAACAAAATGTATCCCTTTGGTTGTTTTTAAGCTAGAGGGTAAAGCAATCCTCGTCAAGATTTTCCTTCCTTTTTTTTTTTTTTTTTTTTTTTTTTTTTTTTTTTTTTTTTTTAAACCGATCCTCTCGCACATCTGGTTCCTTTGCCAGGTGCCTCCTGGGTGCGAGCCGCGGCTGTGGAGCAACATGCCGGAACAGAGCAACGACTACCGGGTGGCCGTGTTCGGGGCAGGTGGCGTAGGGAAGAGCTCGCTGGTCTTGAGGTTTGTGAAAGGCACGTTCCGCGAGAGCTACATCCCCACGGTGGAGGACACCTACCGGCAGGTGATCAGCTGTGACAAGAGCATCTGCACGCTGCAGATCACGGACACCACGGGCAGCCACCAGTTCCCGGCCATGCAGCGGCTGTCCATCTCCAAGGGCCACGCCTTCATCCTGGTCTACTCCATCACCAGCCGGCAGTCGCTGGAAGAGCTCAAGCCCATCTACGAGCAAATCTGCGAGATCAAAGGGGACGTGGACAGCATCCCCATCATGCTGGTGGGCAACAAGTGTGACGAGAGCCCCAGCCGCGAGGTGGAGAGCGGCGAGGCCGAGGCCCTGGCCCGCAGGTGGAAGTGCGCCTTCATGGAGACCTCGGCCAAGCTCAACCACAACGTGAAGGAGCTCTTCCAGGAGCTGCTCAACCTGGAGAAGCGCAGGACCGTGAGCCTCCAGATCGACGGCAAGAAGAGCAAGCAGCAGAAGAGGAAGGAAAAACTCAAGGGCAAATGCGTGCTCATGTGAGGCCCTGCGGAGCGGGGGGCGGGGCCTGGCCCCGTCCCGCCCCCGTCCCCTCCCACGTGACCCCCCGTCGTCAGGGCAGCATGTACGACGCCCACGTGTTCACTAGCGCATCTTGACCGAGACGTGCCCCGTTGTCCCCGAGAGGGCACTTCACGCCACCGCCCGTAAGCATCCCCTCTCCAGAATCAGGGACTCCGCCCAGCGGTTAAAATGGGAACCCATGCACCCTGCAACCCGGGGCACCTGGTGGGGGGCTGGGCGTTTCTGAAGGTGGGTTGGCCCTTAGCGGGGGCTCTGGGCTCGCACCCACGAGCGATCTGAGTACAGGACTGGTCCCATCTGCATGCATGTGACGGCATGTGACCCTGGAGCTATGCCCACCCAGCTCAAGAGCTGGGCACCCTTAGGGGCGG